GGACTTCTAACTGAAAAATCATCATGCTATACAGACAAATTTTTCCAGTATAAGTTATGTTTATATAATGTTTTAATATTTGGCATTTTCAGGTCAAATCTAAGTATGTTTAACACCTACCGTTACCTTTAAAATGCAGTCATAAAAAGTCAGTTATGGTACTCAAGCTCCTCTTCATTATGTTGTTATTTAAATAAACAGTTTAGGCTGTGTAGCTTTCATTTAGACAGATTTTCAGAGCAGACAACTCCAACTACTATTTTAATCTTCTTAGAGCTCGAAACACTTTAATAATAAACATACCTAACTATTCAATAATCCATGCATTAATATGGATAATGGAGAACCTGAAAGAGTCTCTGATCACAACTTTGATCCAAAGAAGCTATAATCAACTATTGGTCACATAAATTACTATGTTACATTAGCTTATCATATCAAGTACCGATTGCATAAATACATACCTTGAAGAAATACTATGTTAAGATTTTAGTTAAAAATAACACTCATCATTTAATATTAGATAGAACTCATTAAAAAGTAGAGCATAATAAACTATCTTCAAAAAAGTGATAGGCATGCAAATAAAATAAATGCAAGCAATTAAGGTGAGTGAAGATAAAGTTAGGTTGACAAATGAAACTAATAAACTCACATCATTTATATACTTTTCAAAAGGGTATGAACCAAAACTATTTCCTCAGGCAATTTGGTAAAATTTTAGATCACACACTCCTCTAGTTTCACTTCTATTCCATTCTTAACTGAGAGGACTTTTCACTTTTCCTTTTTAATGATTCTCCTGAAAGTTGGACTGAGGTCTTAGCTCTATTGTTCCTCCTTATCTACACCATAAAGGAAGTTCAGTTTCCCCCAGGGAACTAGATAGGAATGGAAAGCCTCAGCTTTTCCTTACATCAAACCCCAAACTGTCCATCTGATGGACAGTTTCCCTGGTAATATGACCCACTTGTTTCCCCTGGTAATATGACCCACTTGAAATATATTCTGATTTTTACTCATTAAGCCCAACTTGTTGGGAGAGTTTTGTGAATGAAATAAAATCTTTCTCAGAATAAATGTGCAAACTCATTGCAAATAAATTCCTTCCCCTCTGAATAAACACAGAATATGCTTTAAACAGCTTCAATCAAAATGAAAAAACAATGAGCTCAAAAGTAGCATTTAAGCAGAAGTACCTCCAGCCAGGATCTTCTCTTCCAACTCTGCCATCTGCTTCCTGTAGGCTCTTAAAGCTGCTTCTTTGAAAGAGGGGCGGATTCTCTTTGGCTTGGTGACCTCCACTGGCTGTTCAGGGATGTTTTGGTTTTCATCTTCTTTAATCTCCACTTCAGCTGATGGTTCACTTAAGGCTTCCAAGTCCCCTTCACTAACTACATCATCCGTCTGCCCATCATAACCCTCATCCAGTGGTGTTTCATAAGGGGTTTCATAGGAAGGGTGATCGTATTCTTGCATGTGTTCATCTGTTTCAGTCATACTAGTCCTGTTTTCTAGCTTAGCAAGGACTTGTTCCATCACCTCAACGTAATCTGTTTCATTATCAGCCACTGGTTCACTGTAGTCTTCCTCATCCTCTGCTTTGTAGTAATAGGGCTCTGTGTAGACATCAGAGTCCAGGGTTGTGCTGGATTCATTTGCAGTTGATTGGGATAATGTCCGAAATCTCCCCATAAGGGAAGAACCACTGTCCTCATAACCACTGAGACTCTGTGTACTTTTGTTCCACACCACTTCCAAAGCTGATTTAGCCCTCTGCAATGTAGATCCAAACTTGGGGAAGCTGAACGTTTTATCGGAAAGGTCAATGCTCAATCGACTATGCCACGATTTAGGTGGGGCATCCCCTGAGTCATCACTCTGCAGTTCACTTTGACTTTGATACATCATGGACAATGGGCTTTGATTTCGGTACAGCTCATTAGAATTAGCTTCCTGATAAGCATCATATTTTCCAACCCATTGACCTTGTGGTTCATTATCTAATCCAGGGCATGGAGATGAGTTATCATCCTGGGTTAAATCATAGCTCTCCGAGTCATCTTGAAAGTCACTGTGGCACTTGCCCAAGTCTTCCAAGTCTTTGTTGTAAACATCCAGCTGTTGTTCTGATAGACTATTGGTGTCATAGTCAAATGTTTCCTGGGTGGATGTGTCCAATGCCAAGTTAGCTGCTTGCTCTTCTTGATCCCATTCCTTCCACGGAGAAAGATCCTCATGTAAAGACAGCTGAGAACCACTATAATGAGTTGGGTCTGCGGACATACACACCACGTCATTACTCATTCCACTGTCGATCGTTTCCGTGTTTCCATTGTCTCCCTGCCCCAGGACACCCTGAACACTCCTATTCAAATGTTCCCGAGGGCTGTCATAGAAACCAGGTATGCCGTCCTGTTTTCTCTGCCAAAGTTCTCTGTCTGAAGAAGACAAAAGGGAGCTTCCATTCGTTCTGGTGAAAAACTGATTTTCAGAAAAATCCTCTGAATAAGATTGACACAATTTGGAAAAATCAGATTCAGAGCGACTAAGTTTGGCTGTGAAAAAATCACTCTGTGAGTGCCAGAGAGGCGTTGCATCTGTATATTGGGCTCTGGTTTGCTTTTCTACGTTATCTGATTCTGACAGTTGTAAGGGAATTTTATCATAATCTGATTTATTTGAACTTCTGCTGCTATTAACAGTTTTATTCTTGGATTTAGAACCATGGGATTTTGAACTTGATTTGGAACTACTTCCCTTTATTGGCAACTCAGACTTGGAGAACACAGCGTAACTGTTTCTGTTAAGGTCACTTTCAAGCTCCGCATCACTGTCTTCTGGTGACTGCCAACTGTTCTTCTTGGTTTTGGGTTCTGGAGTAGACACCTTTATATCCATGCTCTCATAGGTCTGTGAAGATGGTATTACTTTCTCCTTTCTTTCTCTGATGTCATGAGTCAGGATATCTGTTGAGATTCCAATGCCTGTTCCTTTGAGTTTATACGATTTTTTTAAGACACAATCTCTTTGCTGAGGGGTTTCAAAGTACACAAGGATGGGCCTAGGTTTTGCATTTGGGCAGTCCCTTTGGTGCCCAATCCTCTGAGCAAATTCAATTTTAATAGCATTTGGTATATCTGAAAAACCCATTTTATCTATTAGAATTTGGTACACCACACTTTCAGTATACTCAAATTTTTCTTCAGGCACATTTAAGAATCTCAGGCTTGCCTTGCTTCCCATATGACCTAAGTGTTTAATGTAATCATGGATGTCTCTGGTTTCCCTCCGGGATTGGACGAACCCGGTACGCAGTTGTTCAATTTCACTTTGTACAACCTCCACACTACTGGAGATCTCATCGATTGAGTGCTTGAGGGCATTGACGTGGCCTCGTAGCTCAGAAAGTTCTGTTTCAATCTGGCTTATTCCCTGAAGCTCCTTAAAGATCATTTCCATGACCTCATGGGTTTGGCTAATGCATCCAGAGGAACTGAATCCTGGTTCTAGAGTATTTGTCTTTGGGTTTCGGGCAGTTCTATCCAAAGACTTGCTTCTGATTCCCCAGGATTTCTTCATGGTACTCAACTCTGAGTCTGAGGAGACACACTCTTGACTCTTCTTCCATTTCCGCAGTTTTCGTAAAGCTCCTAGTTTTAAGCCATGTAGAGTGCGTTCTCCATCAGAGCTGCCCTCAGAGGGCGCCAGACTGCTGGAGCTCTTCCGGTTGCGTCTTACAGGCATGGTGTGTGCTGACTGTACTTCGTTTTCTGTACTACTCCTCAATTCATTTAGTGACTCTGAATAGGAACTCTCAATCGAAGACAGCTCGGGAAGCGGATCCTCATTATCACCGTTGGTTACACTGATGTTCTTCTGCAGACCATTGGCTATAGCTACTCTGTAACTGAATGTTGGCGAGAGGGAAAACTCTTTGTTGGCCTCGTCTTCTTCAGTAGATAAGTTGCGAGCAGAGGAACACTTTGCAATCTTCTTCACGGTGCTTTTCAAAGTATTAGAAAATCTGGGAGTTTTAGTCTGCGTAGCTGTGGGAATGTCTTGATCCTTTTTCTGGGTAAGATTTTCCTTTTTTTTGGTTGTATTTCCCAATTTCTTTGTAAACATTCCTCTGCAAAGCTTATGTAAGTAAGGTAAAATCAAGCTCTTGAAAAGATTAGCCACCATGGAGAGTGATTAGGGCAAGCTTTTCCACCACAAAGCAGTAAACAAGCTATCAGGAAGCAAACCTGTAACTCCAAGGCCAACATTACTGTTCAATGTTTGGCGATCATTGAAAACCGCTGGAAGGACAGGCGTGGTTGTGCCATCGGGTCAGTGCTCTGTGAAAGCCCCAAGGCAAGCTGCATTCAGGAACACTCTCTCCCAGATGAGGGTTGTTGCAAATCTCTCTCTGGGCCACATAGCTTCACATAGTGTCTAAAAAGATAGAAATGTTGAAATGATTATCACAATTCAATGCTACATTGATTGTATTTCCAAGATTTTATCAAAAAATACTCATATTCCTTATGTGAAAAAAATCTCAGAGGTAATATCTCAATATCAATACAAAATTACTTTCAAAAGAAGGAAATTAAAAGCAAATCAGAATCAGTTTGACTTGCACTTTTTAACAAATCACTTCAGCATAGACACACCTGAGATAGTAATAAAAGGTCAGAATTCCTACTTACAAAGCTTTGTGGAAGATGACAATTTAAATAGTAGCATTCTTCTTGGCATTTCATCTTTATAGCGTTGGCTAAAGTTGTGTTCACCTACACAAATTTTAGGATATAAAAATACAGTTCTGTGCCAGATATTTAAAATCATAGTCAATTGCCATAGACTCGTCATAGATAGCAAAAAAAAACTGAGTTTAGGACCATGACTGAAGAAAGGTATGAAGTCACAAAAGCAAGATGTACCAAAGATAAAAACGAGTATCGATGGGGCCCAGCACAGTAGCGTAGTGGCCAAAGTCTTTGCCTTGCATGCGCTGGGATCCCATATGGGTGCCACTTTATGTCCTGGTGGCCCCACAGCTCCGTGTGGGGAAAGCAGTCGAGGACAGCGCAAAGTTTTGGGATCCTGCACCCACATGGGACACCCAGAAGAGATTCCAGGCTCCTGGCTTTGGATTGGCTCAGCTCAAACCTTTGCGGCCACTTGGGAAGTGAATCAGTGGATGGAGGATCTTCCTCTCTGTCTCTACGTCTCTTTGTATATCTAACATTCCAATAGATAAATAAATAGATAAATAAATAAATAAATCTTTAAAAAATAAATTAAAAGGAGGTGGTAGATTAAAGTTCATTCCTTGATACGGTGTTTTATAATGCAAGTAGCTACACACTAAGTAATCTGATAGCTGAATTAAATCAAGGGAAAATTTACACTAGGTTTACTGGCTCAGTGGCAGAATATCTTGTATGTGGAAGGTATTCCAAATTTTATTGCATTGAGTTTAACATTTTATCGTTGAAATGCAACTACGAGTAACAGACAAAAGCCTTTACTGACATTTGAATATGTACTTGAATAGATACATAGTCTAATTCACTAACCAATACATCATAAACTACATTTTAGTTTAGGAGCCTTCTTACTCTGTCAGCCCCCTCCGCTGGGAAAACTGCCAATTCCACCTCAATCAGGCTCTGTGGAGACTTAACGATCACGTGCTCTGGCTGGAAGCCAAGTTTCTTAAGCAACCAAGACATAAATAAGAAGGCACAGAAGACAGAGGGCAGAAAGAGATGGACTCTTAATGTCCAGTCTTTCTGGGCTTCACAAAGTCTTCTCTGAAGCAATCTGATATCTGTTCACAATTATAAACCAGGATCTGTGCCCTGTGAATAAAAGTGTCAAGAAATAGATTCCTGAATTAAATTCAGAGAATATCTATTTTGACCCCTCTGTGATCTCTTTATACAAAAGACTGAAAATTTAGCTAGCAACAGAGTAAAGACATTATTCTAAAACATTTTTTAAAGCAATTTTAAAAGAATACAGTGTTCTACCAATGACTCAATATAAACCCAGAAACAAATTTGTGCTAGTTGTTCAAGTAAAAGAAGTGATGTTCTCCCGTCTAGACTTCATGACCTGCATTGCTAGTTTAGGGCTGTGCCAGGCAGTGATTGCCATAAACGCTTGTGCTGACAGGTCAGTGTGAAGCAAGCGCTTCCTTAACGCACACAAACCAAACAGCATGTATGCACAGTTGCCTATATGAACTTACATGCTCTGTATTCCAACCACACAGAAGGATGTGTTATTCACTCAGGGCCCCACTTTTTTTCACATCTCGTTAACTTTTATCTGCTGTCTTCCTAGCAAAACATTTATACTCAACCCTTGCTATAAAAATTGTGTTTAGATTCCAAAATCATTTGTTCTGTGCAGAGCTCACCAGCTACTCAAACTCAGCTCTTCATTCTAATTGATACAACCTCTCTGAGCCCAGTGGGTAGATCGTCAGGATTACTGGTATTATATTTCTTATTCCTCCCTTTGAATCAAGTCCTGCTTAACTGTAAAAACCATATCCAACTATAAATATCTGAATCAGGTGTTTAACACGTTAGCAATAGTCAAATATTTAATGATAAATTTCATTCACTAAGTATCTTCACTGAGTTGCCCCAAATCAAAATTCTTCCAATAGTTAATCATTTTCCTGAATTACTAATCTCAACTAATGTTGTAATGATACACTTAGTATAAACAGAAGTTGTTACAAGCTCAGGGTCCATCACTTCTCCACGCCGGAAGGGATTCTGTCACCTCAGGCCATGATTACGGAATCTTGACTTCCTAATTTCCATCCAAACAATCATACTCTTATCCTAAATATTTCCCAGTGTTAATTTAATATTACTTTCAAGTTCTAAATTACCTTAAAGTTAGTATATTAAGAAATATATATATCTATCTATCTATATATATATATATCCTCCTACTTAAAATTCTGAGTTAGCTGTTCTCTCTCTTTTTTAAAGATTTATTTATTTTTATTGGAAATTCAGATATACAGAGAGGAGGAGAGACAGAGAAGAAGATCTTCCATCCACCGATTCACTCCCTAAGTGGTCACAACGGCCAGAGCTGAGCCAATACAGATCCAGGAGCTTCTTCTAGGTTTTCCACATGGGTGCAGGGTCCCAAGGCTTTGAGCCATCCTCTACTGTTTTCCCAGGTCACAAGCATGGAGCTGGATGGGAAGTGGGGGTAGCCAGGACACAAGTGATGCCCATATGGGATCCTGGCATGTACAAGACAAGGACTTTAGCCACTAGGTTATTCCACTAGGCCCTTAGTTGTCCTCTTTTCTGGCACTCTCATAAGCATATTAGTCCCAGCTATTCAAAGTACTAGCAGGTCCTTGAATATTAGATTTCTATCCTGCCAGTGTGTCTTTTCCCAAGCTATTCCCCTACATCTTATTCCTTCCCCTTTCCCTGTCCTCCGTTACACCTCATAATTATCTATAGAAAATTTGCCTTAGACAGTCAGAGAAGAGCATCAACTTGTTTGTTCTCTGAGTCCCACTCTTCCTCTTCTGTGCTCCCACAGTACCTTGACCATACCTTTGGTATGACTCTCACAATGATTATGTGATATGTGTGTGTGTCTGCCTCTCCAAACAGTTTGTGAGCTCTTGGACAGAGCAAGGACAGGACTGATCTTGTGAAGTGAACTGAAAGAATGACATTGTAAAAAAAAAAATTAGAAACTGTAAGGCAGAGGGAAAGTAGGAAGAAGGATAGAATCGAGAAGAAATCTGGGTGAAATGCATGAAATTCATTTACTATATATATAAACCATATGCACACACACAACACACTATATATAGATACACATATATACATACACAGTGTATGTATTTATATATGTGTATGCATATATAAATAAAATTTACACCATGCATATACAATAAAAAAGTGAAAAATCCATTTTGCTTGACACACAATAGACTCAAAATCTTTTTTGGATATTGAATGTATATATTAACAAGCAAATATATGGACAAATAAATGTGCCCATGAATGAATATACAATAACCCTCCCCCCCAAATAGCTGAACTGGTTCTTAAGTGAGTCAGAGGGGGGAAGCAGTGCTGGAAGCCAAGAATCACAGACATTCATGTCACAGCCAAAGATAAAGAAATATCCACTTTGACCAGAGGAGGATATTGATGATGGAGACCAATGAAAGGGAAAAAATGCAGAGCTTGTAAATTTATGTTCAGAAGATCCATCTAAGGAGAAGGTGTTAATGGTTACTACTGGTCACCTGCATAGGAATCCCATTCCAGTATCACCCCCACTGTGTAATCTTGGGAAAGATGCTTACCCCTCAACCATTTTAGTTTGTAACTTTATGACATTGGGACAGAAACAGTGTCTCCTAGTGGCACAGCAGGAGGAGGTAAATCAGTTAACATATGTAAAGTTCTTAGAACAATGCCTAGAACTTAGCAAAGCCCTCAAAACATCAGTCACAATTCCAGGAAAGGTGACAAAGGGAAGTGAGAAGTCATCTCATCAGGTACCACTTCAGTCAAATATCTGTCAACACATGGGACCAACCTAGGCACCCTGCTAGGTCACAGGATGTAGTGAGGAGGATAGAAACGGTAAAGAGGCAGCTGGAAGGGCAAAGGAAGACACTTTCCATCTTCATGCTTCAGTGACAGCTTCTCACTACTGAATATTCATCTTTCCATCACTGGGTTCCGTGTGTGTGTGTGCACATTCTGGTGTTTATAGAAGTAATCTCTTGCATAAAAGTGAACATTACCAGTGGTAACTGAAACAAGGCATTATAATTGCCTTTATTAACCCACATTTCTACTTTATTTGAAATTAAATTTTTTGAAAATATATAGGTCACTTCAGAGCAAAAGCAGTAGGTGTAGAAGGTAATTCAGGCAGGTAAGAGGCCAGGTACCACAACAGCATCAAATGATTCTCAATTACTTTAACTTAAAAGCTCTTATTAATGCTTTAGTTGTCATAACTTTAATTATACAGTCAAAAATTATTTTCAGTAACGGAATTGAAGTAAGTTATAAGATTTGGTAAGAAAATGTTGAGAGAGGTCAAAACACTAGATTGTAGTTGCAAAGTCTTAGTGATAATATTTAATTATGGCTTACAACGTGCTAAGTACTGTGTATACAATTATCTAAAATCTACTTCATTTTCTCAGTGTAAGAGTTATATGGAATAAATATCACCATTTTTCAGATACAGAAACAGAAGTGTTGACTATTGTGAAATTTGTTTCAGGCCAGCAATTGACAACACAGCCTTAACTCAAAGTTAGACACAATGGTAGGTTAAACAGCTGAGGAACTTTAAGTAGTTGGCAGTTCATTGCTATACCATTATCATAATTAAAGCATTTTCAGATCAATGAACAGTTTTATGTTTCTTATCAAATGTAGTCAAATAGGCTAACTGGGTATATAGGAGTTAATTTTGAAGAGAAGGAAGTCACAGCAAAGAGGCCCTTCAGGGCCTGACTCAGCTAACTCTGCTCCCCAACCCAGCCCTCATTTGCCTTGACTCTCTCACATGTACTCTTGACCTTGACATAGGAATGTCATACTTACCACCTGAGTTTGAGACCTACTTTTTTTTCTGCTTGATACTAGAGTAATATAATAAGAACACAGTTTTTAAAAAAGATTTGCTTGTTTTTATTGGAAAGGCAGATATATGGAGAGGAGAGACAGAGAGGAAGATCTTCCGTCCAATGGTTCACTCCCCAAGTGACTGCAATGACTGGAGCTGAGCCAATCTGAAACCAGGAGCCAGGAGCTCTTAGGGGTCTCCCACATGGGTGCAGGGTCCCAAGCCTTGGGTGGTCTTCAGCTGCTTTCCCAGGCCACAAGCATGGAGGTGGATGGGAAGCAGGGCCACCAGGACATGAAGTGGCACCCATATGGAATCCCATCACATGCAAGGCCAGGACTTTAATCACTACGCTATTGTGCTGGGCCAAGAACACTCTTAACTGATCTTTCATTTGCATTTAGTCTGTTACATATCCTAGAATTGATTTAACTGATCTCACACAAGAATGTCAAACACTGTTTATGACCTTAACAGCACCCCATCAGTAAATACCTTCTACTATACAGTATGAAACTCTTCCATAAACACGGTGACATATAAATATGGCCACCAAATCTCTGCCCAACAGTAAATATTCAGTGATCTGGAAAGCAAATTCCCAATATTGTTGGTAGACAGAGTCATGGCAGCAAAGCAGCAAGCCTAACGGAGTGCAGAGAAGATGCATTTGAGCAAGAAAGACCCAAGGGAAAGCAGTATTGGCTAGCATGTTGTCCAGGGAAATTTACTAGTGTCCTTAAATAACAGCAAAGGATAAAACCAGGATATCTGGTGATAAAAAGGAAAGAAAATCATACTAACAGTCAGGGAACAGGTAGAAACAGTTCAGAAAAGGTAAGTGATGAGCAAACAGGATTCTATTCAATTTCAAGCTTTTATTAAAAAACAAAACAAAACATGTTGGGGCCCAGCGGTGTGGCTTAGCGGCTAAAGTCCTCACCTTGAAAGCACCGGGATCCCATATGGGTGCCGGTTCTAATCCCAGCAGCTCCTCTTCCCAACCAGCTCCCTGCTTGTGGCCTGGGAAAGCAGTCAACGACAGCCCAAAGCTTTGGGACCCTGCACCCACGTGGGACACCTGGAAAAGGTTCCTGGTTCCTGGCTTCAGATCGGCGCAGAACTGGCCGTTGCGGTCACTTGGGGAGTGAATCATTGGACGGAAGATCTTCCTCTCTGTCTCTCCTCCTCCTCTCTGTATATCTGACTTTGTAATGAAAATAAATCTTTAAAAAAAAAAGCATGTTACGGAATTTTCTCATTGGGCCAAAGCAGATATTACATATTTTGTAGATATTTTTTTCCATATGAATGAATAAATGCATTACAGACTTTGTTCCTCTATGTGCATCACAGGTGAGGCCACCATCTATGGTACTAGCATTGCATATGAACACCAGTCAGGTCTAGATCTGATTCAGCTCCCTTACAACACTAAGCAGAGAACTAAACCCAGTGTCTGTGCTCCTTCCTTCCAGGTGTGAGACAAAGTGGAGTTCTAGGCTCCTGGATTTGTCTTGGCCCAGCCCTGGCCAGTGTGGTCATTTGGACAGTGAACCAGCAGATTGAAGACCTCTCTTCTTTCTCTTCCTCTTCCTGTTTCCCCTCACTCCTTCTTTCACTCTCTCTCTCCATTTCTCTCTCCTCTTTTCATGCAGTTCTGCTTTTCAAGTAAGTCGTTTTTAAAAGGACTGCATGGGGTACAGGTCACTGAGCCACTGGTCCAGTGGGTGCCAGATCTTAAGCCCACATGTGAGGTAGGTGCTGGATGCGTGAGCCCCAGGGATGGGGGCCTGGCAGGGATCAGGACATCTGCCCAGGGACCCTGGACTCACCTGTGCAATGGGTGCTAGGTCCATGAGCCCCAGGGACAGTTGGCCTTTCAGGCCTGGGTCACCTGCCCTGGGTCCTTGGTCCTGCCTGCACAGTTGATGCCAAATATATGAGCCCCTGGTTTGGGGTTTGGCGGGGCCTGGGTTGCCTGGCCCAGATCCATGGGCCCACCTGTGAGAACTGGTCTTCAGTGTAAAGGATGGAGTGGTGGACAGCAGGCCTTGGTGGACATGGAGGATATAGTAGCCCATTGAGGCCTGCAGAGGACATCTACTACAATAGCAGAGAATGGAAATCAGAACATATTGGACAACTACCCCAACCAAACAATGACAGCAAACATCTCCACAAATAGAGACTCCAAGGTCAACTGTGTCAACCAATGGACATTGGAAGGGTTTCCTCATCCATAGATTGGATTTCAGAATTATCGCATCCACCTGGGCAGAACCCTCGAAGTGTCCACCACATCAGGACCATGGGTTCACATCCGGTGGTTCTTCTTTTCCCCATCCCTTTGTACTGGGGTGATTTGGGAGGCTGAGTAAGACTTCTCCCTTTATCTCCCTCCTCCCCCCAGAAATGGGAAGAAGAAATAAAGTTTAGAAACAAGGATCGCATCAACTTTTCCCCAACCCTGAATCCTTCCCACCCTATGAAACATCTAAAATTGGAAAATATAATACCACAGCAACACAATAAGTAATGCTTTCAAGAGCTATTACATCTAAACAATAACAGACCAAAACCTATTGAAACATTTCAAAGGAGAATATCAAATAAGAAAGTCATTAAAAATTGTATAGTAAGCTAATAAATGGTT